TCTCATTTAGCAGTTATTTAACGCCTTTTTTTTTTACTAATTACAGTTGGTTTTATTTGTGTGATTTAATTGCTGGTTTAAAATCCGAATCATTTAATATATTAAATAACTGCTAAATGAGAGATAAGAACTGAAATAAATGTATATATATAAATGTATATATATATATATATATCCAAATCTATACATTTATTTTAGTCTTATTTCTCATTTAGCAGTTATTTAACGCCTTTTTTTTTTACTAATTACAGTTGGTTTTATTTGTGTGATTTAATTGCTGGTTTAAAATCCGAATCATTTGATCTGAATATACAGCCTTGATCCTTGCAGTTGTCTGATGTCAGCATGATTGGAGCAGACATGTAAATTTACATCAGATCTATCGTCCAGTCCAGCCAAAAGCCAGTAAAGTGGCTGCTCCATCCAAACTGCCTGGCCCTCACATTACAGCCCCTAATTCGGGAAATTAAGATGCCTTTTGTGTGATATTTCTCAGTCTTTCTTCCTTCCACCATTGCCAATCAAAGATAAGTTCAAAGCTCCATCTGATGCTCAGAGGTGCCATTTCTTTTCAATCAAAGGCCCAAACCAGCTCCTTCAATCAACAAGGCGGGTGTTAATTAACATCCAAGCATTTGCATTGAAAAGCGGTCCAATTTATAGCTCATTCCCTTCCATTTGTGAATCATGAACCCCCCCTCCCTCCTTCTTTTGGTCGTCTGTTTGCGCATGTTGCGTCGGACTCTGCCGCCTGCGTTTTGCGCATCTCTTTGCGTCTCCCAGGGAAACAAGCTTCAACCTCCAAAAGGTCAATATTGAACTTGTGTCGGTGGCCAGATTCCCCATTATTCACATTGTCACCGACTTCCTGGCTTGTTCGCATCTCGCATGATCTTAACATCAAATATTTGAGGAAATGAAGCGCTCATTTTGCACCTTAATAGCCCCAATGCGTCTTATTTTCGTGCATGTTCCCACAGCTGCAGAGCCGGTCTGGATGGCATGTATCTATGTGCTCCTGCAATAATCAACCATCAGTCTGAGAGAAGGAGAAAAAGCGCCAGACCTGTGCACAGACAGAAGCCCTGCTGCACCTATTGCTCTGGACTGTCTGATTATACGCGTTTCACACGTATAATGAGGGCCAGAGACAGCGGCCTCTGGACTTAATCCCTCTGTAGACTTAACCCAATAGGATCAGACATGATTAATAAGGAAAACTTAACCTTTTTAAATGGGCTTCTAATTAATAATCAACACATTTTTTTCCTGCAGGTCCAACTTTGCACAATTAGAGACTCAAACATTTGTCTATTTCACTCTGCAGCAGACCCAATTAGAGGGAGTTTGGTTTTTAAAGCATTTTAAGAACTTTTCTTCATGTCTGTAACCAGTGGCGGTTCTAGACCAAATGTACCAGGGGGGGCAGGAGGGGGCCAATGTGTTTTCATGGGGGAACAGAAAAGCATGAAACAAAAAACAGGGCAAGGGATTTAAATATATTAAGAGAGCTGCATAAAGTGTAACTTCTATTTAATTAGGTTTAATTAAAATTCAATGTCTTATTAGGTCTATATGCATTCAGAATTTAGGAATTTTACATATTTTTGACGTAAGTTAAGTTAAAATAACCGTTTTCTATAAAATCTGAATTGGAACTCATGAAAAACATGAAAAGCTGTAAAAATTTGTTGTTGTTTTTTTTTAATTTTCCTTGAAAAAAACATTAAGCAGATTGAAACTGGGCTCCTATCTCAATACCACTGAAGCTATCACATTATCGTATTTAAATAATTAGTAAAACAGAATTTGTAAAGAAAAAAAATGAAATAGATCCAAAGGAGCTATCAGTAACCATGTCTGTTCCAGCGCAGATCGTCATTAGAATTTCTTTGAGTATTATATCTACAGTACAGGGGCCAGGACATGATCTACAGGGGCACTGGCCCCCATTGGCCCCTGTCTAGAACCGCCCATGTCTGTAACATTCTCAATTGGATTTAGGTCTGGACTTTGACTAGGTCATTTTGAATACACTTAGATCCCAGTGCATCTCTGACTAATGTGTACAACCAGTCGTTCCATATTCCCACCAACCACCATATAGCAGACTAACTAACCCGTTAGAGACAGATTGATAGGGAAAATGACTGATAGATGTCCTATGGATGGATATTTCTACCTGAGCTGTGGGTTTCAGCAGCATTTTCAGAGTTGTTGCTTTCTAATTAATGCTCTCATTCTCCAGCCTACCAGATTAGGTTAGGAAATTGTGCAACCTGTAGGGCATGTGTGTCAAATTCAAGGCCTGTGAGCCAAATTTGGCCCATTGAGGCAGTTTGTGCAGTCCTCAACTGCAAAAAAATTAATAGATAAAAAATATTAGTTGGTCTATTTTTTCCTAAAGTAATTGTTTTTTCCATTCCGTAAAAGTTTAAAGAACAATCCACTGGACTTG